ACTGGCCTTTGGTCACACAGGAAAATGGCAGCACTGTGATTTTAGACCAAAGTGTGCCTAACCCATAATCCTCGTGTCTTCACTGGGGTGAAATCGGCAGAGCAGTAGGGAGAATTCGTGTCCTCACTCTCTCTTTCAAGCAATCCCAGTTGCTGGATATTTGATTTTTGTTGTTACATTGATTCATAATTTTAGTTTTCAATTTTAGTATTTCAAATTCTTGAAAAGTTAACCAGAAAAGTAACAACAGTTCTCATCAGACCCTTTACCTAGATTTCTAGGGGTATTTTCTTGGAGAGTGACTTGTGAACCTGTGGGACCAGGCCACACTGCAGGAAGATAGCTGTGGACTGTGAAGTAGGGTGTGTCCCTTCTGAGAAAGTTCACTGGGCTCCACCCAGGGCCTGAAGCTAACCGAGCACAGCGAGGGGGCTCGCTGGCTGGGAATAAGGGAAGAGTCTAGAGTTTATCCTTTTGTATGAAAGATTTCCCACTCTGAGAAACTGGGGAGCCGAGGGACACAAAACTAAACTGACTTATAAAAAGATGTCTGTACCGTAACAGACACCCCTGGGCGTGGCACCATACCCCTGTGGCTGCCAAGAGCAATAGCCATGAATTATTCAGACCTCTGCAGCCATGCACTTCCTCTCCTCACCATCGCAGTGAGAAATGAATGTTTACTCTGAGGACATTATCACTTCCGTGCCTGCCCACCTGTTGTAGCTGGATTTCAATTTCTCCTCTCTTCACTCCTGCTGATATAAAGTTTGTGGAAAAATGGAATTAAAGTATGAATTTATTTCGGTGCAAAAGATTTTGAAATTTATGCAGTTTAAAAAAATATATATATATAATGTGCATTTCTTGCAAACCTTTTTTTGCCAGAGGGCGTGTGCACTCATTAGGGGGAGGTAGAGAAAGTGAGAAAGCACCTCTACATAGGGGATGGTCATGCTGTAATCCCTTTCCATTTCTCTCTCTCTTTGGGATTTTGGGCACACACACACACATACCTGGTGTGTTTTTCAAGTCACTGGGTCCAAGTTGGGACCATGCAGTTGGCCATGAGGGATCCAGCTACCTAACTACCATGCCACCAGTCCCCATGGACTGCTGGAAGACCCCACATTCAGCAGTATTCCCAGAGACTGTGGTTCTTATTAATATTCAGAGTATTTGGAGGGAGGAGGGTTCTTTCTCTGTGAAGGGAAAGCAGGGGTCTTTTAAAGGGTTAAACAATTTGAAAGTTTTCTAAATTACAGGACTTTCTCCAGTTCTGACACTACCCCTGAGACTGAGCTTGTGACCTCTCTTGCTGTCAGAATTCTCCACTAGTAGACATAGTGTTTCGTGGGACCAACAGATGGCATAGTGGCTACATTGCTGGACTTCCATGTAGTCGACTACGGTTCGAGTCCCAAACCTGGTGGCTTAAACTCATGCCGGGTGTATGTACGTGTTTGCCCAAGATCCCAAGAGGAGAATGGAGGAGGAGGGATTGCGGCGTGGCCATCTCCCTCTCTCTGTGCCCGGTGACCGGCTCCACCTTAGAGCAAAACCCTCTAAAAAAAAAAAAAAAAAAAAAAGAAAGAAAGAAAAGAAAAGAAACCGTGTTCTGTTACCAGTTTTGAAGTGTTTCTTGCTCTGACACACCTTCCTCTATTCAACCTGTGCTGGACAGTGAGCAGGTGGGGGCTGTGGTGCCTGCCTCACCCAGGCTGACCTCCCCACATCAGGCACTGGCCTGGCACGCAGCAGAAGTGTGGCAGAGACTTGCTGAATGATGGGCCTTGGCGATGGTTGCTACGGCTGTTGGCTTAAAAATACAGCATTGCTGCCTTGCCTTCCTAGATGCACTTTCCAGTTGATCTTTCAGTAACGAGATGTTTGGCCTGAAAGGGGTCTTGGGTATCCTTGGCCCCAGCTCTTTTCTGTTACAGCTCCCTGTAGTCTCATTAGCCTTTAATTTCGGAGAAGGAAGGGTTATTAGTACATAAAAATGTCTCAGTTATCTATGCGTGGATGACCCAGGGACATTGCTATTTCTAGACTTGCTTGGTGTTTTGATTTTCTTCAAGCTGGTGGTGGTCTGCTGATAAGAAGGGGCCTAAGAATGCAAGCTAAGTCCACTAGTGTTAAAAACCCCGTAATTGAGAATTGGTATCTTGGTGGTGCAGCTCTGCGAGGCTGACCCACACAGAAGGTTTTAGGTTCGTGTCAGGAGACCTCCCTCAACTTGCCAGCCGCATGTGTGCCCGTGATCCAGGGCTGGCTGTAGTTGGGGTTGGATCAGGATGTGATCACTGTCGGGAATGCCTGTCTCTCTGACTTTGTCTCTCTTGCTCGTGGAAGAAATACAAATAAAAATAATAGTTTTATTGCTATTGAGCATTCCCTTCTCCTTTCTTTCCCTTCATTCTTGGAATTCTCATGTGTAAGTTGTGCCCATAGGAGTGTGGAGGCTGCTGCATCCACGCAGTGAGCCGTTTTCTGTTCTTCATGGTGAGCCAATAGAATCTGTTTTTTAATCGGAACTGTTGCCCTCTTAGTCACATCAACAAAAGCAGCATCAGACTCTTGCAGCCCTATCCTCCTAGGCCAGGAAGCACTGGAGGTGATCCACTCTCGGCCCTTTAGTTGGTAGGCAGTGAGGGAACAGGCTCAGACAGGTTCGGGAGCCCAGGGCACAGGTTAGTTGGTGGCAGCCCCCCAAGAGCCCAGGTCCTGCTCAAACGGTGTGTTTCTCTGTGTGTGTTTCTCACAACTCCCATTTGCCTTGCCAAATTCCACCCCACACTGATGCAGCTGAAGCCTCTAGTTTTGCCTTGTTTATTTAGTGCATGCTTTGAAGAGTCTCCAGACAGTTAATACTTAAAAGTGAATGTGGAAACCAGGACTACCTCATTTTCTTTTTCAGCTGTGACCATTCGCCAACCAGTTAGGAAAGAGCAAGGCAAACAAAGACATGATACATGTTTCAGTTTTCTTGGAAATAGGAAGCTTTTGAAAAGTTATTTTAATGCACAGCTTTATGTTTTTTTCCCCCATTACCAATAACATCAATAATAAGGTGACTGGGGCGTTACACCAGCAAATAGAGGGCTCCCAAGGGTCTCTGAGGCCTGGCCCAGAAGCTTGGGCGTGAACAGTCTTGTGCTGGTTATTTCTCTGGCATTACTGAATACCTTGACCCTCCAGAATTTGCCAGGACAGTTCTGAAACTGAAAATTGCTGGGATAATTTATAGCTAGCACACCCCTCCTAGGTCTGAAAATCAAACCACCTGAGACTTGATTGGACCAAAAGCCATTTTATACTCTCGGGTGTTCTGCAAGTCCTGTAGTCGCCCTTCCTGGTGTGTTTATCCCTGGCTCACAGTGAGAGGAGGGGAACACGTGAACACATGCCTGCTTAGAGCATATCCAGTGGTGAGGATGATGTACCGAAGGCTTTATTTTGCAGACATCTGTCATCAGAAGTGCTCTTTGTGTTAGGACTCTTCGTTTTTTCTTTTCTTTTTTTTTTTCTGGTTGCTTACTCCCGTTTGCATCTGATTATGTAGCTTTTCTCTAAGTTTTCAAATGCTTACCCACAGGAGAACCTTGGGGACCTGTCCACTTTCGTGCAACAACATAGAGGACTGGATTACAGTGGAGCTTGGTCTCTTGACTCCTTAGGTTGTCCTTAGATAAGGCCTTTGACCTCTATCAATCCTGGCATCTACCTCTTAAGGGGGTATATGTGCTAATTACCTCATTGTTGGGGGGATTAAATGAGAACACTGAGAGGTCTCAGTATCTGATTAGAGTTACTGAAGGCTGGTGGGCTTTGGAATCAGGCTTTAGCTAAGTGCTCTCACTTCCACTGAACAATTAGTTCATTTACATGTTAGAACTTGATCAAATCTGTAATCTGTAGTATAACGTCTATTTGGTGAGGCTGTTGGAAGAATGAAATGGGATGTGAGTTTGGTGCCTGGTATGCTAGACTTCATTGGGGTCTTATAACACTGCTGTTTGGCCTTTTGCGACCTCAGATCTGCTACTGCCTAATGTCATATGTTAACTTTTTTTTTTTTTTGATAGAGGGCATGTATGCTTTCCAGAAAGAAGGGAGAATAGAAAGTACACCCCTGTCCCCTGCCCCATGGGGAGTGGTCGTACTGCAGTCTCATCTCCATTTCTCCTTCCTGTCAGGATTTTGAGCACGCATGAGTTCTGCATATTTTTCAAACCACTGGGTATCGGACTTGGTCCACATCGTTGACCATGTGGGATCTGGCCGACTTAACCAGTATGTCAGGGAGCCCACCCAGTTGAGCGCTTTAGATAAATTATTAATGAATTTTGTATAGTGATAAGAAAATTTAACCAATTATTTCCCCCTCCTGGGTGTGGGGAGGCAGAAATGAGGTGAGACTGGAGGGTGGGGAGCTAGGAGTTGGTGGATCTGAGAACTCCAGCTTCTCATATCTGGGCATGGGGTTTGGGTGGAAGATAAATTACTCTCCAGTAGTTGGTGCAGTGTGGCAGGTCAGCGATAGTGCCAGTCAGTGATTAGTGCCAGTAAATATTAGCGGCTGTACTTTTTGCTGATACTTATTGTAAAGCTGGTAAAATTTTTAACGAAAAGGTTCTAGGATGTGTCTTTAAATATTTTTTAAGGTGGAAATGGCTAGTCTAGCAACCATTCTGAGGGGATGTTTTTGCAGGGGAAATTTCGCAAAGGCAATTTTGTAAAAATAACACTTAATGAAGTTGCTTTTGGTGGATGACAAATTGATTTTATTTGCTGTATTCTCTAAGAGGACTGGTCTGAAGGAGTGTGGAGTGTAATTGGTTGAGGAACACAGAGAGTTTAAAAGAGGGGGAGGGTGTGTTTAGGCTTCAAGGTGAAGTGGGCCCAGTTGTTCTGTGTGGAATGTAAAAAGAATCCTGGTTTATCTGCATTTGCCCCCTATAATTTCTCATGTGTGGCATGGCTTGTTTTTCTTCTAGGATGTGGAGAAAGAAAAAGAAACCCACAATTACCTCAGCAAAGAGGAAATCAAAGAGAAAGTTCATAAGTACAATTTAGCAGTGACAGACAAGCTGAAGATGACCTTGGTAAGTACCCACCATACCATTGAGGTTTGTACCTGTCAAAAGACAAACAGAAGTTGAGATACTATAATCTGCATACTTTTTTGTTTTTGTCTTAAATTTTGCCAGAGGATGCATGTACTTGCTAGAGAGAGACACAGAGAGAAGGAGAAGAAGAAACCACCCCCTATACAATATGGTCACCCCAGAATTACAATTCCTTCTCTTCCACCTGCCCCTCTCTTGGGGACATTGGGCACACGTGCATACATACCCAATGTATTTCTCAAGCTGCCAAGCCCAGGACTTAAACTGCATGGTCGGCCATGTTGAATCTGGCTGACTTAATCACCAGGCCATGGAACCAGCCATGTATATTTTTCTTTTGTTATTTTTATTAAGTTTTTAAAGTTTATTTATTATAAACAGAGGAGAAAGACAGAGGTACTCCTAACAAAGTCTTCATGTTGTGACCCACCCCATCCTTAGCTAGCCGAGGGCATGCACTTGTGCATGGTGTGTACAAGGAGGCCTTGGGACACAAACCCAGGATCCTCCATGTGGATTCAGCATCCTTGGGCATTGTGTGCCACCACAGCTGACCTTCTGTGTACTTTTAACTCTCTTAGTAACATTTACATAAGTTTAGTGGTCAAGGTATGCAAGACCAGAAAGTGGGATATTTCTGCAGCTTTCAAATTTAATCTATATTTTGAAGTAGCTTCAAATCAGTTGCTGATTTGGAAACCTTAAAAAATAATGTTAAAAAACTAGAACACCGGGGGCCAGCAGGTGGCGTAGCGGTTGTGTCACTGGACTCCCACATGGCTGACTATAGTTTGAGTCCCAAACCTGGTAGCTTTAAACTCACGTGGAGTGTGTGTGCATGTGTGGCCAAGATCCGGAAAGAGAATGGAAGAGAAGGGATTGCAATATGGCCATCCCCCCTGGGGGGTGATTTCTCTCTTT